GAGTAGCAGTGAAACCAAGAAAGACTTCAAGAAATCCTCCTTTGCTGGGACAAAAACATAAATTGTGATACTGACCACAGCTCACAGGTCAAAGGGCACAGCCAGAATATACAAATAAGAAAACTGCTTTTTACATCATAAGGGTTTCTGCTTGACTAACTTGGAACCCAGAAGGAGTTTGTGCCTCTTCTATAACATGGCATTTCTGAAGATACTTTAAAGAGATCATTGTCAGGCTGACCTTTAAAAATAGCCTTAGTCTGGGACTGTAGTTTGATTGCATCTGAACAAATTTAAGCTAAAATTATGAGATTTATTTGACTATTTTCCTCACTTCATAGATATCAACATCATTGAGGCATGAGTTACTTATCTCTTGCATTTTAGCCTTGCCAAAGCTCTTTGAAAAATTGTAGAGTAAAATTTAAATATAACACATTACTCATACTGGTCACAATTATCATTTAAGTGCTTTTCTAAATGTCAGAAATTCTACATTTTTTCTAATTTTCATAGCAAACTTTCGACAATTATATTATACTTCCTGTATTTACAGAGGAATTAAAGTTGAAGCACAGCAAAGTAAGCGAGCTGCCCAATGTCAGACAGCTGGCAGTGGGAGATTTGGGCCGAGATTTGGGGGCCAGGCACTACACATGTGGTGCCTCCTTTAGTCTTTACAGCAGCCCTTTCAAGGTGAGAACCTTTAAGAAAAGATTCAACAAAGATGGAGGCAGGACTCACCTCGGGATTGTCTACTCTAGAACCCATGATCTTGCCATCGTATGACTTACGGTCTTTCAAAGACACGTCTGAATTTCACACTTGAGAGTATTTCTTAAATTCAGAGTAGATTGTACTTGGTTTCTCATTTGTTAGTTCTGAAACAAGTCCAAGATGCTGTTCTTCACCCAAGAATTCAAAATTAGACTAAAGAATGAACACTTCCTACATCTCTTTTGAAGAACTTTTGGTTTAAAAATTGATGCATACCAGCTTCCAAGTTATTAGTGTTAGTAAAGCCTTGACAGTCTTCAGATCCTCCCCTTTCCCATAAAACAGTTTTTGGATAGTTTGGTACTTGGCTGTATGTGTAGCAGTTAATACTTCAGGCATTGGATGGAGATAGCCCTGAGATGACTTTTAGCTTAAGAAATTACTAGTTATATGGCTTTGGTTCATTAGGCAACCTCTCAGGTCTCAAAGGAATTCTTACCACCAGTCAGGATAATGTACTTAAACCTATTTCCATTTGTCAGGTTCATGGTTTCTCAATGCAGTAAATGTGATAAAATATTATTTCACTGATATCAAAAAGGGAGAGTAAATAAATCTAACCAGGGAAGCTTTGTCTCTTAAAAATCACCGAAGAGCACGCTCTCCCCATCTGCCCAAAGGGAACATTCCCGTCCCTTTGCCCCTTCTTTCCCAGGCGCCCGCTCTCTGAAGCCTGCCCACACCTTTCCTTTCCCTCTCTTCCCCTCCCCAGGTGTGTGAACCTTGCCCTTCTTTCTCCTAAGCTCCAAGGGCCCTCCTTGAGCCCTCACAGCCCAGCTGGCTCACCTTTTCTACCTCTGTGACTATTTTAATAAACTTTCTCTTACTAAAAAATCATTGAAAATATTTAGAAGTTTGCTTTGAACTTACACTTTTACTGTAAACCCTCAGAAGAAATAATAGCGATTAAACAATAGTACTAAGCAATTAAAAAATTTTTAAGGACAAAGTTTATTAGTATTTGTGTCTAACAGTTTTCAGATTGCCTGTTTGTACAATGATAGATGAACTTTCAAAGCTGACTATAAATTGAAGGACACCTGAGGTGAAGTATTCAAAACTATTTTTTAATCAAAGAGGACTTTCTTTTTAAAGAATCTAATAAGTTTTTAAGGTTATTGATTATATTTGATGCCTCCTTGGAACAATCTAGACCAAAAGATGAATCACACTGAATTATTTTCTGATTTGTGTTTTATCCATTTACTGAAAACTTTCATAAATTTCTAGAAATAAATACTATGTTGTATTTGATTCTAGTCTATAAAATGGGTGTGGCTCCTTTTTTCCATCAAAAAGATTGTTTCTGACCCTGAATGCATAATAAGTGTTAGATTCTTAGGAGGCTAATGAGATGGGAACCCAAATTTGGAGTCTAGTGTTCAGTGTAGCTTCTTAACTGGGTCTTTTCCACAGTCATTTTTCTTGTTTGTAATTTTCTTTCTCCCATCAAACTATGTTATCTCTGTAAGACCAATAAACAAATTCATAAAATTTCAAGTGAAAGAATTATAATACTCTACCATCAGGTTTCACATTTCATAGAGATCAGAGGATTTAAAGCTAACAAAGGAAATAATAACTGGAATTTAAGGAATTATACATTCCTCTACAAACATTTATTGAAACCCTAGTAAATGCCAAGAATGCACAAAGTGGCTAGCACACTAACTCTGGAGCCAGGCTACCTGAGAGAAAACCTAGGTCCTACCATTTCGTCTCTGGACGTGACCTCCAGCAAGTTATGTGATTTGCTTCTCTTCCTTACCTACCAAATGAGGTAATAATAATACTGATCCCATGTATATTGAAGGTAGTTGGAGGACTGCATGAATGAATGTAAGTAAAAGACTAAAAACATGCCTGCCATGTTATGAGGGTTACATATGTAGTAGTTGGTGAGTATGGTTGTTATAATTGTGACGGTCAACCAGATACAGTCATTACCCTCATCATGCTAGTGAGAGGCATTTTAAAGTGCATGACTAATGTTCATCAGAGACTTAGTATGTTCCACGTACAACGGTAATCATTTCATTATTATTATTATTTAATTCTTATAACAACTGTTCTAATGAAGGTTTTACTCTTTCCAGTTTAGAGATTAGCAAACTGAAGTTTACAGTGATGAAATAATTTTGCTGAAGGTTCAACTAGTAAGTGATGAAATCAGAATTTAAACCAAAGTTCTATTCATCTTACTACACAAGACTGGTCATTTAGAGGAACTATATTAATCATTTACATAATAGCAAGTGAGTATAGGATGGTGTTTACAAGTACAGACTCTGAGACATATTATGGGGATTTGAAATCTGTCTTTTCTACTTTCACGGTGTTGGTCCTAGGGTAATGTGGTTAACTTCTCTGTGCTTCAGCTTTGCACCTATAATGTGATGATAATAATACTTCAAAACAGAGTCAATTCAAGGATTAAATAAAATTGAGTGAAATCATATGGTTCTTAACTTTTTGTGTCTGACGTATTTCACTTCAAGTTCTATACATGTTGCTGCAAATGGCAATATTTCATCTTTTCTTATGGTTGAGTAGTAGTCTATCATGTATGTATGTATGTATCACAATTTCTTTATCCAATAATCTATCAAAGGACACTTTGTTTCCATGTCTTGGCCACCATGAATAATGCTGCTAATTATTTTTGCTAATAAATGGTTTTAAATTTTTCAGGTAGACACCAAAAGAGGGGTTCCTGGGTCGTATGATAATTCTGTTCTTAATTTTTAGGGGCTTCCATACTGTTTCCTGTAGTCTGTACCAGTTCACATTCCCACCATCAGTGAATGAGGGTCCTTTTTTCTACACAACCTCCCAATCACTTGCTATTACTTGTCTTGTTGATAATGACCACTCTAAAATATGTGAGATGGTGTATGTCATTGTAGTTTTGATTTGCATTTCCCTAATAGCCAGTTAAGTTGAACATCTTTTCATATATCGGTTGGCCATTTGTACTTCTTTTTGGGAGAGGTGTCTGTTCAGGTCCTCTGCCCATTTTCTAATTGGATTGTTTGGGGTTGAGTTGTATGAGTTCTTTATATATTTTGGATATTAACCCCTTGCCATTGATCCATCCTGATGTTTGGTTGCATTTCATCAACATGCCTTGGATCTTTTAGTTGTACGATGACGTCAGCATTACAGCATATTGGTGCAACGGAAGGAGCTTCAGATGATGAAGAAAAGTGCCTTTGTCCTTTTGCTCATTAATATAACAAACTTTGCTTCATCTGTGGCACTAACCTTCTTTAATGTGCCCTGGGTTAGGTACTGGAGGCTTTTCTCAGTAGGCTACCTTTGGAAATAAGCTCAGGGCTAAATCACAACAATTACAAGCCTGAGATGAAAAAAGCCACGTGTACGCTGAGGTCTCTTAAAGACCCAGCCAGCCTTCGTTTCCTTTCACAATGGGAAGCTCTGAGCTTCTACTGACTAGGATTTAACCACAACAAAACAATATCTCTCTGTGTGGGTTTTAAAAATAAACTATGTACAAACGACATCTTAGAAAAAGGAGTATAGAAAAGCCAAGTTAAAAAAGAAAAACAAACCTTGAAATCCTTCCCTCTTTTCTTTTCCAACAGGTTTTCTTCCTCAGAACTGTAGTCTGGAAAACTCATCTATTGCATTGCATACCAGCGGTTCAGCCACCCCAGGTTTTGATTTGGGATTCTAATGATATTAGTATACATAGTGTTATAGATGGGCTATAATCTGAGGCCTGTACAAAGATAACTAAAAGCCTCAAGGTTTCTAAAAGGAAGTGAAGAGAAAATGCATTTGTTGTCTTAGCTACATTATTGACAATGTAAGTGATTGTTTGGAGGCTTGAAAGGTGGGATCAGTCCTGTGAGCTTGCAGTTTTAGGAGAGTTTAATCAACTGATTAATGACATAAAAGAATATATTAATTCACTTGATGTTTCATATACATAGTTTATAAGTAGGAGATTTTTCTAGTAATTTGCATACTCTACTGCTTTTACAGTTAGGATAATGAGGAGAAATCATTCAACTCTATAAACAATGATGAGCAACTAAATCTAACTATAGGAGGTTAATGAGAATTTATCTAGACCACTGTTATTATCAAAGATATATTTTTAGGTTGCTGTTTCCATCCTCCAGCCTGCAGTGAGAGTCACCCCTGTGCCCAGTGCCCGATGCCACCCACCTGTAAGAACCCAAAGGAAGGAATCCACCATGCCCCCCAAATATGACGTGTTGACTCAAGATGAGCTGCGCAAAAGACTGTACCAGATGTTTAAGGACCGGGGTATACTGGACAGGCTCAAGATGCAGCTGAGAAAGCAGCTCATTCAGGAATTGATGCATCCTGTATTGAGCGGAGAAATGGAGTCCCAGTCCATTTCAGTGGAAGGTAGCACCCTCTTAATAGGCGCTTCCAACTCTCTAGTGGCAGATCACTTACGAAGATGTGGCTATGAGTATTCACTTTCGGTTTTCTTCCCAGAAAGTGGCTTGGCAGAGGAACAGGTATTTACTATGCAGGATCTATTACAGCTCATTAAAATCAACCCTGAATCCAGTCTCTACAAATCACTGGTTTCAGGATTTGATAAAGAAAACAAAAAAGGTTTTCTCATGGAGTTTCTAAAAGAAATGGCAGAATACCATCAGATCAAAGAGACTCGTGACATGGACACTCAGACAAGCCCAATGTTCCTTAGCAAAGACTCTCTTGCTGAGAAGCTTCAGCTTATTGATGATCAGTTTGCAGATGCTTACCCTCAGCGTCCAAAGTTAGAGTCTTTAGAAATAAAGTTAAATGAATATAAGAAAGAAGTAGAACAGCAGCTTCAGGCAGAAATGCAACAAAAGCTGAAGCATTTTAAAAATGATGAAATAGAAAAAATCAAAAAGGAAGAGAGGAAGAAGTCTGAGGCGCAATTAGCAAAGTTCTGGAATGACGTTGAGAAAGCTTGTCAAGCAAAATCAGAAGCCCTCCTTTCTCAGGAAAAGATGTCCCTTGAGAGAATTCAAAAGAACCAGGAGATTGAAACAAAAGAAATTTATGCTCAACGGCAGCTTCTACTAAACGATATAGATTTGGTAAGAGGCAGAGAAGCAGAGCTGAAGCAAAGAATTGAAGCTTTTGAATTGGCCCAGAGGCTGCAAGAAGAAAAAAATAAAAGCATGAGTGATGCACTTCAGAGGCGGGAAATGAATATAAAGAGTATGGAGGAGACCTATGAGCAGAAGCTCAAGAATGAAATTCTGAAGTATCAACTAGAGCTAAAGGATGACTACATCACCAGAACTAACAGACTGGTTGAAGAGGAAAGGAAGAATAAAGAAAAAGCTATACATTTGCAAGAGGAGCTCACAGCTGTTAATTTGCAAAAGGAAGGACTCAGTCATTCTGCAAATCATGTGAAAGAACTTCAGCTTGAGCTTGAGTCTCTCAGAGCCCAGTGTTTGGCAATAACAAAGCAAAACCACTTGCTGAATGAAAAGATGAAAGAAATGAATGACTATTCACTTCTAAAAGATGAGAAACAAGAGCTTCAGGAAGAAAATAAATTACTTAAACAACAAATGCAAGACAGTAGAAATGAAAACTTGAATCTCTTAAACCGCATAGCTCAGCCATCTCCTGAGCTGCTAAATTTTCAGAAAGAATTAGAGAAAGCAAAAACTGCTATCCTGTTAGGGCATAAGGAGTTCGAAACCCATAAGAAAGCTCTGCAGAAGCAGCTGCAAAGCGAAATTGAGCATTCTGCAAAGCTGAAGGCCCAGATACTACAGTACGAAGCCTCTGTAAAGAGGTTAACTGTGCAGGTGGCCAATTTAAAAACGCAGCTGAAACAAACCGAGACAGCCCTGGAGAATGAAGTGTACCGCAATGTAAAGCCGTTTCTTGTCAACGGATCCACAGTGTCTCCCAATGGTGGAACAAGTGGAGATTTCTTGAAAAATCCTCTTACACAGGAACAGCTGATGGCAGGCACAGTTAAACCAAGAATCATGAATTATCCAAGTGCAAGCACAGATGGTAGCTCCCCTGAATCTGACCTTGAGTTTGTAGCCAACACCAAGGCAAGAATGAGAGGGCTAGAGCATGAGGCCGAGTGCTTAGAGAAAGCTTTCCAAGATTACCGTCAAAGAATTCATCATTGGCCCCGCTCTGGAAGCCCACTAGCATCCCAGAGCCCACCTCCCCTGCACATGCAAGGCACTTTCAAGAGCGTCACGTTAAGTTCCTCAGAAAGATGTATTTTTACAGAGGAAGGAGCTGTGCCCAGGAAGCCTGCAGTGGGCGAAACAGAAGTGCGGATGGACACAGCAGCCTCCCCGCTCCACAGAGGTGCTGGCAGACGCCTCTCCACCACTCCCCTTGAGAGAGCTGAATGGAGCTTTGATGCTGAAATGCACCTGGAAGGTCTCGGTGGATCCCAAGTTGATGCCTCCAGTCCTTGTCCTGAAAGAATGCTGCATCCTTCAAATGCTGAGTCTAGACACAGCCTTTCCATCCATTTGCTTTCCAGCCCTCTGAGGCAGGAGGCCAGTCTTTATCAAAGACAAACTGAACTAGAGAGAACTGAATTTTCAAATCCAGACAAGCAATCTATGAACAATAATGAAGAATTTGAATCATCTTTTAAATCTCGTGTAGATGCAGGGGACATGCCAAAGCACTTAGAAGCTGATGGCCTCCATCCTGCTGGTGACATGCCTCACTTCGATGCTGGCCTGGCTGCTCTTCCTGCCCGACCTGTCGCCTCTCACTATCCAGGTGTAGATCAGAAACAAATTGGGGGAGACAGTGAAGAAGAAAAAATATGGCAGCCGATGAAAGAACAAGAGCAGAGAGAGGAAAGAAGTCAAAGTCTGCAAGAAGCTTTACAAAGGGAACAGAGAGAACTAGAAAAACTCAGTCAACCACGGCGGATGATTGAAGAGTCATTGAAGATTGAAATGGAGAAAGAATTAGAAGTGAGTATTCAAAAAATGAAAGACAGATCTGTTTGTGGTGAAAACCCTTTTGAGAAATACATGAAAATCATCCACGAGAATCAGGAACCGCAGAAGGATGATAAGAACTCAGTGAAGATTGCCAGAGAAGTCTCCCAAGGGGACACACTTGCCGCTTAGTGACAATGACGGAAGTTTCGCAGGCCTTTCTCATGAAGAACCAGATGACTTTTGGTAACCGTGTGGGCTGGACAGCTTTTTATTCATGTAACAACGAAAGGCCTATGAGTTCTCTGTAGTAAGACAAAATTCTCAATAAAAATTGTTTATGTAAAAAAGGTATTTTTAATTATTATAATTATTAGTCATCAGAAATTGACAGTTACACAGACTTCACATTTTAAAATTATTTAGATTTTATAATTATCTTTAAATAAGGTCAGTATTCTTAGTAACTTATAAACATTAAATCACTAGGTTTAAAAACTAGTTAAGATATACTTTACATTAAAATTATGTTTGTATCTGAATGTGCTTGTTACTTATCAGAATCTCCAAGTACTGGAGAAGTTACAATGACAAGGTATTCATATTAAGATATATTTAATGATAACTGCATATTACTAAAATATCTAATTAAAGAATAAAAACTACAGAGTTTTGGCCAAGATGGAGGCATAAGTAGAGACCTTTCCCTTCTTCTCACAACCAAAAGGAGGATGACAACCAATCTGAAATCAGTAAACAACCAAAATCACCAGAAAATCAAACCACATGGAACTCCAGCAACCAAGGAATTAAAGAAGAAATCAACCAGAACAACCAGACCAATAAGGCAGAGGACTGTGTGGGCTGACTCAGAAAAAACCTCAGACACCTGTGGACCTTGGGGGCGGGGCTGGCTGCTGACCTCGGTGGGCTGTGAGGGACGGGCTGACTTAAGGGGACTCAGAGGTGGCTGTGGGCTGTGGCGGTTGCCTGGTAGGAGAAGCTCCCAGTCTCACATGAAAGTCCTTTGAAAAGTGCACTAGACACTAGCAGGCTGACCCCATTGTTCCCTCGCTGGCCCCTCCCCCACAGGCAGCACAGCAAGGAGGTTTGCCCTGCCTGGGAGAATACCTACGGCCCCGCCCCCTTACAACTTATGAGCTGCGCCTAGATGAAGAAATATGACCCAAATGAAAGAACAGAGTAAAGCCTCAGAAAGAGAGCTAAGTGAGGAGGAGATTGCCAACCTATCTGATGGAGAATTTAAAGCACTGGTAATCAAAATGCTCACAGATCTGATTGAGCTTGGTCAAAAAATGAAAAAACAAATGAAGGATACCCAGAGTGAAATAAAGCAGAACGTTCTGGGAACCAATGGACCAGGAAGGAAACTAGGACTCAAAGCAATAATTTGGAACAAAAGGAAAAAATAAATATCCATCCAGAACAAAATGAAGAAACAAGAATTCAAAAAGTGAAGAGACTCCTACAAACCTCTCGGACAACTCGAAATGTTCCAATATCTGAATTATAGGGCTGCCAGAAGAGAAGAGGAAGACCAAGAAATTGAAAGCTTATTTGAACAAATAATGAAGGAAAACTTCCCCAATCTGGCAAAGGAAATAGACTTCGAGGAAGTTCAGGGAGCCCAGAGTGTTCCAAAGAAGTTGGACCCAAAGAGGAACACACCAAGAAACATCATCATTAAGTTACCCAAGATTAAATATAAAGAGAAAATCCTAAAAGCAGCAAGAGAAAAGGAGAGAGTTACCTACAAAGGAGTGCCCATAAGGCTATCAGCTGATTTCTCAAAAGAAACCTTGCAGGCAAGAAGGGGCTGGAAAGAAGTATTCCAAGTCATGAAAGACAAGGACCTACATCCCAGATTGCTCTATCTGGCAAAGCTTTCATTTAGAATGGAAGGGCAGATAAAGTGCTTCTCAGATAAGGTCAAGTTAAAGGAGTTCATCATCACCAAGCCCATATTATATGAAATGTTAAAGGGACTTATCTAAGAAAAAGAAGATAAAGATATGAACAATAAAATGACAACAAGCTCACAACTATTAACAAATGAACCTAAAAGAAAAGAAAAACAACAAAAACAAAAACTAAGCAAACAACCAGAATAGGAACAGAATCAGAGAAATGGACATTATATGGGGGGATTTCAGTGGGGAGGGGGAAGGGAGGAATAGGGGGGAAAAGGTACAGGGAAGAAGAAACATGGTTAGTAGCCATAAGGTAGACAGGGAGAGATTAAAAAAATGGTATGGGAAACAGAGGACTCTAAGAACTTACATGTACAACCCATGGATGTGAACTAAGGAGGGGGGAATGCTGGAGCGTTGAGGGGCAGGGCAGATGGGGGATAGAGGGGGCAAAAATTGGGAAAACTATAATAGCAAATCAATAAAAATATTTTTTAAAAAAGGATAAAAACTACTGTCACTTGCCAGTTAGTCGGTCTACATAAATTTCAGAACTCTAACAAATGGATATCTCTACACATATTTGGACAATTGAGTTCATAATTGTCAAGTAATTTTTGGAATGGTTTTAAGGTAACAAATAATGACTTTAAAAGTCAAGACCCTTTTAAAACTTCTTTATTTCTAGTGTTCTGAAGTCATCCTGAAACTAGGAGAGCAAAGGTACTTGGATAAAAGTCAACAAAATATCAAGGTGGATCAGACACCAAGACATTCAAATGATTTTATTTCTTAAGGTACATACACTTGGGAATGTTAAATTGTCCAGTCACATCCAGTCATGTGACAGATTATGTTCTCAAAGTAATCCTCCTCCTCCTCCTCCTCCTCCTCCTCATCATCATCATCATCATTAACCAAGCTTTTGTGCCTGTGTTGGCCCAGAATGGCCTTCCCACCACCCTAAAATTTGCCTGCTAAAGAAACCTTTTTTCTTCCAAAGGTGGGTTAAGAGATTTGACTCCTTTATCCACAAAGGATAGCTGATTCATCTTGCCACCTTTATAGCAATTTTTGCTTTGTAGTAATGTATTATATGTTCCAGAACTGACTGTATAAGTCATTGCACTTTTAAAAGAAAGATTTTACTAATTCATAATCTTCCCCACATCCAAGGACCATAGGCCCTTGGGGGGGATTTATTATGACCTTTTATGTACCTTTTTTAGTAGATCCAACAGAAAACCAAATTTTTGATTGAACACAAAATTTATTTTAAAAATATGTTCAGGTATATGATTGAGTAGTTAAAAATAGTCTGGAGAGTCTAAAAAAGTAAAAATGATATTTCCAAAAATTTCTGTTTTCCTTGATTAAAATGAATAAAATAGAGCTAACTTTAAAAGAAAAAATTATAAACATTTGTTGTAGTTTGTTTCTAAATGAAAATAGTTGATGGGTTCACTAAATGTATAAAATCTCTATACAAAAGTGACCAGAATTAAGATATTTTTTTCAAGCCTACTTGGTAAAAGTAAGTATTGTAGAAGTGGCTTGTGGAAATTAAATATAACTTGATTTCCTGTCACACAATTTGCTTTTTCTGAGTCTTCCAGTCTCAGTAAATGGTCAAAACCAAACTCCAAGAAACATCTTGGATTCCTCCCTTTCTTGAGTGCCCATGCAACATGATGTGCCCTTTGCTTGGCACACACTCCTCACAGATCTTGATGGTTCCTTGTTAGCATTTTTCTCTTCAGTCAAAGACCATCTCCCTGGTGAGTACTTCCTGATCTCTCAGGCACTCTAGAGCAGGGGTGTCAAACTCATTTTCACCGGGGGCCACAGCAGTTTTGCGGTTGCCTTCAAAGGGGCTGAATGTAATTTCAGCCCCTTAACAGTTAAGGAGTAGTTTCATGTATACAGTCCTAAAATTACATTCGGCCCTTTGAAGACAACGATGAAGCTGATGTGGCCCCTGGTGGAAACGAGTTTGACACCCCTGGCCTAGAGCATCAGATCACATCACTGTGTTCTACTCTCTTTTTATCTCTCTGCACCATCTGGACTTACGTTGTTCACTGCATGTTCTCTACCAGAATATGAGCTCTCAAAGGCAAGACTTTTTTTTCTTGTTCTTTCCAGTATTCCAGCACTTATACAATGTTTGTACGTAACACCCACTCAAAACTATATTTCTAGTGAGTATTTTGAGAACAGAATTTTAAAAATTTATTTCATTCAATATTAAACACCTCATTTGCTTTTAGCATTGCACTATGCGAAGGTAAGAGGGCATGTATTGAAAGGCAAACATTGTATTCCTTTCTAGTAACCTGATAAAGTTAGACAACTTGGCATTCTTCCTTCACTCTTGTTCTCTCTTGCTCTGTCTGCCTCTCCCCATCTCTCTCTCCCCTTCTTTCCCCTTCCCTCTCTCTCTTGCTCGCTTTCTCTTTCTCTCTCTCTCCTCCCAGGGAACTTACTCACAGACAGAGAAAGAGAGAATAGCAGAAGAGAGAGTGGTGAAACACAGATAGCAAGGACTCTAGCAGTTAGATGGGTTTGTGACTCCCAAACTACACGATCTTAGACTAGCTGTTTAGGCTCATAGAGGTTATTATGTTTCTTCCTTGAAAAACAGGAATTATTGCTTATATTTTATTGCTTGTTGTGAAAACTGAATGTAACAATGACTGTGTATAATAAATATCTTAGCACATCATAGGCTTCTAAACATGGAAGCTTTTATTACTATTATCTCATGAAATGATCTGAGGTCAGTCATGCCCCAAGCCAATTTTCTTTTGAATAGTGCTTGCATAAGACCAATTTTTGAGGGGGTAATTGGCAACTACCTAGCATATTAAAATACAATATGTATTATAATTTTAATAGTCTGATTCTTTTCCTATCCTTAAAAATAAGAGAAGAGACCATTGTGACTCTGATTCCCATTGCTTCCTGGTGTGGCTGCCAGACCCCATGGTAGGCACGGAGGCAGTGGTCTGTCAGTGATGGCTGAGTGAGTAATACAGGGCAGTAATGTGAGAAACATGTACATCATCATACAGTGAGAGGATGTGAGGTCAAGTGGCTGGCTGAGGAAGTAGCATCCAGTAGGTCCAAAGTAGAGAGAGACCCAATGTTTATCCAACAGGAAATATGAAGTATATCTGGCTGTGTGGCATTAATAGTCTGGAGCTAAAAGAATATGTCTCTGAGGTCAAGAAACCTACCAAATATGGGAGTTTAAGTTGG